CTTTCTCATTTGAAGCAGTCTCTTCAGATTCTATTCTTAATATATACATACAATTCTTTAAGTTCTTTAAGTGGTCATGAGATAAATCCAAGTTTTTAAACATGCTAACAAGATTTCAAAAGAGACAAATGATAGAACCAGACTTACACAGCTCAGCAGCAGCAGCAGCAGCAGCAGCAGCACATCAGCCCCCTGCATGGTTTCTGACAAAGACAAACTGTGGTCTGCTCTGACTGTTGGTGTCTGTAAATCCTCACACACTCCTGCAGGGGCTGCACTTGAAAAAACACACACACCCCTCCTGCTCTGTGGAGGATTCAGGCCTCAGCTGGACGACCACAGGGTTCCAGCCGTCTCAAACAAAACACTTCTGTTGTGACACTGACTCACTCACTTATGCTGTATGTGGCTTTGCTTCCTTAATCCTCAGCTAGTGGATGACAACAGACACCGTGTGAACAACAACAGACACTGTGGTGTGTTGTACTGGGCCTGTTAACAGTAAATCAAACGTGTGCCTGAGATGAGCAGGGAGATTTTGCTGACTCTCAGTTTTTATGAATGTTTTCACCCCAACTGAATCAACACAAAGGAATCAAATGCACAAATCTTTGAGCTTGACTCATATTTAAACCTTCTGGAGCTTGAAATAATTAATTTCCACTACAAATATATTGCACTGGAATCCACACTTTCAACTATAAGAACTTCATCATATTGTTAAAGAAGATACCAAATATTTGAAGAAGTCTCCTAATAATCTTTGAATAATTGAATTTTAATCTCCCATACTGCTCAGTAACCAAATAGATGACATCAAAGGTGATTTATTTCACACCAAAGGAATCCCTTCTGCCCAATTTGCCATTGAACTTCACATTGATCCCTGCACCTCCACCTCTGTTGTCAGGGGTCAGGAGGGGAGGACTGTGGCCCTGGTGAGGAATGTGACACGAGGATCAGAAGAGCGAGGGAGGGGCTGCTGCCTGAGGTCGGTTGGTGTAGGGTGAGGTTGGAGCTTACCGTAAACGGAGTGTGGTGAGCACTCGGAGCTCCACCCAGCAGCGTCAGGCCCAAAGTGCTGATCCGTGGTCCGAAGCCGTGACGCCAGGAGGCGCTCTCCCGCTGACTGCAGTCCAGGTACAAGCTGAGCGTGGACAGAGAGAAGGCCAGAGAGAGTCTGTGCCACAGGCCGTCCCACAGAGCGGCAGCAGGAAACCTGTCAGAGAATTTTACTGTCACATTAAACAAAAGATGGTGTGGTACTTCAGATAATGTTACTGTTGTATTTTAGCTCCAGGATCCAGCTGATACATTAGAACTGAAACATTACAAACAACAGTTTTTACTGAGAACAAAACCAAACACTATCAGAAGAATTGCCTGTAACAAGAAAACTAAAACTAAAACAACTGAAGTGGCACTTTCAGACTTGTTTACCTAATTACAAATTAAAATCCTTGTCACCTCAGCGGAGGAGGTTGTGTTTTCATCTGTGTTTGTTTGTATTTCAGCAGGATTACACAAAAACTACAGGATGTTTTACCATCAAAAGTCATTCCTGCTCTCTCACCTACAGAGGATGATAATGTTGTACCTAAATAAAAACACCTTCATTTGGATTTAACTGATTGGAATTCAAATGTTGCTGAGTCATGATTGCAGTCAAACCAGTAATAAAAGCATTGATGTAATATAAAATGTGTGTATGTGTGTGTGTACTTATACTTATGTAAGCACAAACCTACAGAGTGAAGACAACTTTTGGAAAGTGAGGACATTTTGACTGGTCCTCTTTTTTTCAATTGGCTGCTTGAAGGTTTAAACTTGATTCTAGAGTTTGGGTTAGTGTGTGTGCGTGTGTGTGTATGTGTGTGTGTGTGGGGTGTTGTTTCTCACTCATAGTGTTGTTGCCAAACACTGGCGACAGTGAGGAGTCGTGGGCCCAGCTTCAACTGGAAAAGCTCCTCCCCCTCCTGGCCCAAAACAACCAATAGCGTCCTCTGGCCTGACCAGCGTTGACCCAGACGCAGACGCATCAGCACACTCAGCTCATCTGGAAACCTGTCGTGTAAACGTTAGCACGCTCACACACAGATGTACACATGCACTCATTCATGTGTCACAAGGACACACACATTCATTATAACCTAATCAGTCACTGGACACGGACAGTCGTGAGACATGTGCATGGGACAGTATGGATTCTAGGTTGTGGTGTCACAGAGAGACTGTCCTCACTGAGAGACGCTTCACATGTTAATGTAAACTCTATCACAAAGCTGCCAGATTCAGGAGGCATCAGCGCTCTGTGCGTTAACATTCAAGGTCAAGTTTAACACCAGGGGCTTGAACTTCCTCCTTTCAACCTACACATCATGGAAATAAAATCCACCCTGGACAAACAGGCTCACTGGAGCCTTCCACTCCACTGGTCAGTTTTATGTCTGAGCTCTAACACCACAACACATGGACCTTTACTTCCACATGTCTTTGTTTTGCACAAATGTCTGATATCATGAGTGTGATTTTTCCCCTTATTCATTTTTCTAAATACAAAGTAAAAATATAACTTAAATCATTTTGCCTATATCCTGCAAAATGATCAGAATTGGTGCGTAACATTGGACGAGTTGAAGGAATACATTGTGAACTGTTCTGAGTAAAGCATTTTCTTATTTGCACTCGCTGGTATTAACAGATCCATCATAGTTAATTCACACTTGTTAATTCTTACACAGGTCCAAACACTGTTGCCGTTGGCAGGACGAGTGCGGAATATTGTCCAATCTGATAGGCTGGACATCCTCCACCATCGTCTGTTGCTGAGACATTGTAATGAGAGGCGGACTGCATGTCCAGAAGCTGCAGCAGGTCAACTTCTGAAAGACACAGATTACAGACCTTCAATGTGGTATCTGAAAATAAAGTTCTTGTAAAACTGAGACTGTCAGAGATAAACACTGTGTTTCATTGAGACAACAGTAAAGAATTATAGACGGTACATTGACAAATAAACAGATGTTAGTAACTTCTCATCATGGAAATGTAGATCAGAGCATGTTCTCTCAGTGTGATCACCTGTGGAGAGACTTTGGTTTCTTAGACACCTTGATGATCAACATGTGGTCGGAATGTTTAAAGCAGGAGAAAATCTTCTTCAATGTCTTGTTTGAGTTTTGGTGGATGCCTCAAGCGTCACATTGACAAAGCTCAGTGAAGTGAAAGGTTTAATGTTTCAGACTGTCACTTGAAATTCAAAGGGGGTAAACATGAAGGAACATTTTAAAGTGATGAATTTCAACCTGCTCTCACAGGCTATTTCAAAAAGTGCCAAATGAAATAATTATTATTAAAAAGATTTTGCTGGAGTACATCAACGTAACACAACAACATCCCAAACAAGTTTCCTGACTCAGCAGATTAGTGGAGAACAAATGTTTCTGCGTGAGTGTATTTTGTTAATATGGTGAAAACAGCTGAATTAATCCCAAATGTTCCAACTCAAAGTCAGCTTACCTTTCCCCCCTGCTGATTCCATGTTTCCTCTGCTCCTCCCATGATCCTTTGCCTCAGGATGTAAGTAACTCAGCTGTGGTGTGCCCGCTCCCTGTGATCGCCCGTCAGGACTCACCACACACAGGTAAGCTTGAACCCAGAGCGCCGAGAGCAAAGAGGAGCTCTGCATCGTGTCCTCAGGAGAAATGATGCTGGAAGAACATCTCTGCTGCTGTCACACATGGATCGGAGGGCCGGGCCTGACCGGCATCACTGCGTTCACACGAACACACTGGGATTACGTTTTGATCTCTCAACAACAAACCAGATCTCTCACCTAGGTTTCTGCTCAGCTCCCAGTCCAATGACTCTTTCTCACTGGGCTATTTCAGGATTATGTGAACGTACACACAGAAACATGGGAAAACACGAGGGAGACAGTGGGTCTTACAAAAATAATGTTTCACAGTATCATCACATTTTTAGTTATACTTTCATTGGTTTGGTTTCTTATGAAGTCTAGTCATTATCAGTGGGGATTATATAGAATGTACTTTACAGGGTAGAACCTGCATGAACATCGATATGTTTTTCAAGCCAAGATTGAATTTTGCTTGTTCTCTTCTTTTGGGGCCATTTCAACCTTTATTCAAGTTCAGAAAGTATCAACTCTATGAAGTGGGCATACTAATGTTCCACACCAGACTTAAATAGTAATGTTGGACGGCCTGGGTGCTCCCTTTCCTACCTGTATAATCTTTATGAATGTACTAGTTTGGAAGAAACAGCACAAATGCAGGGGTTTTAAAGTACTACTTTCTTTTTTTATTATCAGGTACTTTTTACTCCACTACATATATCAGCAAATTTCAGTATTTTCAGAATCAGTACTTTTACATTTTTTTGTTGATATAGTTGTACTTTTACTTAAGTAAAAGGTTTGAGTAAAAATTGCAATAAGTTATATTTGGCAGTTTGGCTCTGAAATCCCTCCTCACCATGAGCCTTCATGGAAAGAAAGGCCAGGAGAGCAGATGCTAAAAGACCCCGGCACAGAACAGAACAGACATCGATGACGACACATGATAATTATTCGGTCAGATTCAGTATGAAAAGGAGGCGCTGGGGTGGAGGTGGGTTTTAAAGAGGCTTTGCAGAGGAAGCAGGAGGAGCAGGCAGCTACAGTCACTCAAATATGAACATGAGTTTTGCCAATTGAAAGCATAGATGTATCACTGTACTTCAAAAATAAACTTCAAAAACTAAATTCATATTCAAATGCAGTAATATCAGCCGCAGGAGAGAAAAGACAAGTGATCTCTCTTTAATGGTCCTTGGAACAAACACTTCGTTTCTTAGAGTCATAGACAGGCAT